TGCAAGTCCCATATGTAACAGACGAGATACGAAGATTAGCTCTACTCTACAAACAACGACTACAAGGACATGACAACAGATTAATTGAAGAAATAAGAAACCCTCCCAACGTTGTACGGAGACTGAAGAGACAGTGGCCATCCGACCTTCCGAAAAGACAAAATTAGGTTAAGCAATAAATTCTAGCATCAATTGTGTTTAAGAGCATCGACGCTGGTTGATTCTCTACTCACGTTCCTACTTTTAACCAATTTACGTATTGCTCCTTACTGTAGTAGTAGATTGTAAATTCGCAACGAAATAAAAAAAGAGGGGTACGAAGCGAATCTCTCGCAGGTACCAGTCTTCAGAAACTTGGCCTTTCGAGCTATTCGGAGGCAGATGTCATTGAACTGCGCTGTTTCTCTAAATTCATCAGCCCTTCACTCTGAACTGTTAAAATTTGATGATTATAATAAAGGGCAATATACTCTGTTTTTGCAAATTAAATTATAATATTTCGCTTCTGAATAAATAAACAGTTTGAGGACAGTGAAGTTGTGTTGTTGATTTCGAGCAGTGGGCCGACTTCAAAGTGCAGTTTCCGGTTGCCTCATTTATTACCGTAACACGATCCAGCTAGGAGTCAAGTGGTCTAGCGAAGGCGGCACCTAAGTACAAAGAAAGAAAGAAAGAAAGAAAGAAAGAAAGGGGGTCGGTAAGAGCAATCATTTGTCATTCAGCAACCGGGCGTCATGTGTTGTGCTATTTTTTATTAATATAGTGCTAATATAGAGAAGGGAAAAGCATTTTTGTGACATGACGCCTGAAAGACGAAATAGCGGAGCCAGAGAAATGGCCGTCACCAGGTTACAGCACAGTAAACACCATGTTAGCATAGCAACAGTCACGCGCGTATAATGGAAATCCAACTCTAAAATGTGTTTTCTGTGCAGTTCGCGCTCACAGAAATGTCACCCAACTGTAGAGTAACTGCAAGAACAGGTGTTTTCCGTGCATTCCGCCCCAAGGCTATATAAGAAGAGCCAGTTGTGGGCTTTGCTGCCGCCCAACCCATGCCCAAAACCGTCATATAGCTGTCGTCACGGCAATTTGACAGTGGTACAAAGAATCCCCTCAACTCCTGATTTTTCCTAGCAACTATTTCTACTCTGTAGAGGTGTGAGAGGAGGAAAGATTGGATGGTAGGAAATTTCAAATGGCTTATTTCCACTTTCTCCTGGACCGACGTGTGGTCAGTAACTTGGCCATCGTTTACTTACAACATGTGTAATATAGGCTTATTACAGAAAAAGTATATCACATTATTACATCAGGTATCTGGAACTGCCTAACCGAATTTCGGGTAGTCCGCCCGATGTTAAATCTAATCAATTGCTCTTTACAAATTAGTCATCCAAATGTATCAACCAGAAATTCCTTTCAAAATATTTCGGACAGCCCGACGTCCTGGGCACTATGTCGTTAGTATCCCCATCGTGAACATTCTCTCTCTGTCTCAGCACACCGACCTGACTTCGCCATCAAGACCTCCCGAACTGTTGCGCGTGCCGCTTGCTACGTCACGTATTCCTAAGCCTTTGTTTTAAATTAACGAACACGAATGAGCTACATGGCTTTCATTGAAGTCGTTCTGTATGCCACTCTTTCCCTGATCGTATAGACTGCGAAACACGAGTCAGAGGATTCTCATTAAGACTACTGTCTTCTAGGATTGTGAGGCCGTTCTCTTTGGTACATAGGTATCATTGTTTCGGGGGAACCTCTTGCCTCCATTTTCAGGATAATACAGTGATTGTGACCTAGTGTACTTTAGTTTCGGAGGAATTTCCAGTTTTCCATGTTCGTTGTAGAAGAGCGAGGGGTGTCTCACAGATATCTGGAAACGTTTCGGGGTCTCCTTCTTCAGGGCAACTCATAGGATGTTATCCGTGTAGTCTGTTAGGTGTCAACATGGAGGAATCTGCTGTTTCCATTAACGTTTCAGAGGAAAGTTCTATCTCCATCTTTAGAGTTAGAATAAAAAACTGACGCCGTGTAGTTTACAAAATTACTCGACGCGAATCCCAGAAGAAAATGATCTTGTAGAAAAAATTGAAGTTGCCTGTGTCACTATATCGACTGCGCTTCTCGGGCTCCCTCAGTATTGTTTTTAGGCCTCAGATTGCGTTTAAAAGTTCTCGCCCATCTCAATATATATAGGTCCATACTGAAACATTGTAATGACAGAAAGCGTAATGATTTCTTACAAGGGTCATTGTTGGTGCTATTGATATTACATTAAAATAATTCCCACCGCCAAATCGTAACACCCAGTATTGGAGTAAAAAACAGTCTGTTCCGAATTTGTAATTTTCGTGAGAATGGCGACAGATGAATTCTTATTGTGGGGAAAAATAATTATATATATATAAAAAGGCCTAGGCAATGCCCATCAGGCATAGGCGACGGATGATAAACAGGTTTGTTGGCAGACCCATCTGCTGCGCAGAATTAGTACTATATATATACACTAGCGCGTTCAGTGCCATCAGTGCTCTCTGTCGCTCTCTATCCTCTCCGTGTCGGCTATGCTACCAAGAGCCCAAGTGACGCAAGTGACTACCACCTCGAAGAATGGAAGTAAACCTTGCTTCTTTGTTATTGGATATTAAGTTTTTAATATAAGGGTGTAAGTTTTGGGTATTCCTTAAGGGATCATTCGAGAGAAATTCAGTTTCCTCATATTTTTACAAATTATGGTGTACGTGATATTCCGCAGTTGCAAGTTCTATTTGGAATTCTGCTGGACTTGGGAGCGCCCATTTTGAGGGTTATGCCTCTAGTGGAATAAACATTTTTTTACTGTTTTATGCACTTTTTCGCCTCTTACACATACCAATCCGACTTGCAAAGGAAGTCATGAGGGGTGATCATATATGTTGAACTGGTTGAAGTTGCAGGGCATACAAAAGCATTTTTGGGCCTGTGCAATGTAAATTTGTAGAGTAGCTTTGCTGTTTCTAGGACGTAACTCCGTGCAGTCTGGTAGCTAGTTACAGACGGTTTGGAAGGAAAAGTTTCACGCAAAATGGGTGAACTAGCTGCTTTCAAAACTGAGCAACCCGAAGCTTCATAAACCATGCCAGCCTCTGCTGTGAGAACAAAGAAATGCACATCAGAGTGTGTTTGTTCACAGTAATTAATATGTTTTCTTACAGGCGTGGGCAAATATTCAGAGCTAGGTACTGGTACACTTTTTAGAAATATAATAATAATTTTATTTAACATTCAACACAGTTACAAATTGTAACTCTCAAACAAGTGAGATACATATACAACTTTTCCAGTCTAATTCGCCTCCTGCCCACTCGATTGAACGTCATCATATCATATATCACCCAACATAACATTCAGTTACAATTAAAATCACACTCTCGATATAATTAAAATATATTAGGTACAATCAAATCTATGACTACCTTCCATTATAAAAAACAAGGTCATCTTACTATATATATATCTTAATTACCATGCTATATCACTAGGATTCTTGAAAATCAATTCATTTGCCACCCACAAATCATCATGTGTGATAAAATAAAGTTTCAAGGTTATGAAATGTTCTGCATTTTCTTGCAACAGGAATGCCAAGAATTCTGCTACAGAGAGCTCAAGAAACATTTCCTGCTGTGACAGAAAGGATGGTGAGTGTTTTGTGCTTGTGTGCACAGACAAGAATTTTATTGTCATCAGTCAGTTTTCATATCTTAAGATATTAAACTTTTTATGCCAAGCTTGTGTTACTTTTCATAATCCATGTGGAAAGTTTACATGGTTCTTCATATTATAACACTTTGCATTATTATGTAGGAGAGTGATATGGGTAGGTCATGTAGCACACATGTCAATGAGAAATGCGTACAAAGATTTTGACAGAAGACACGAAAGAATGAGACCACTTGGGAGACAATTGTGAAGATCAATTTTTTTAAAGATATAATTATGGGGGTTTTGGACTGGGTTTGTTTGTGTCAGGATGCAAAGTCATGCTAGGCTTGTGTGAACACAGTAATGAGTGCATAGGTTCGATAAAGAGCAGATATGTATTGTCTGTACTTCCACAGGGACCATAGGTTTCTCACGAAGGTGCCTGCATTATGAACTTAACACTTGCTAAGATTATGAAGTCTGTAGAGAAGAAATCTGTACAGAGCAGCTGTTAAGGGTAAGATGTAATGAGAAACAGCTACAGCAAGGAGAGCATATATTGTTTCGTGTATGATGTTGTACAGCCATGACTGACAGAAGATTTGATGCCTTTACAGAACTGTACAAATTCAGAGAAGGTTTTAGTGGGTCCATATGGTGAGACATACCCAGGAAGTCATGCAAACCAGGTCATGAATATAAAAGTTGAAGCCTCAGACTCACAAGAGGAAGCGGATCCTGTGCAAATAACAGTTCAGGAAGTAAAGTCTGAACCTGAGGTGAGCTGTATGTTTCTGTAAGTCCACTGTTAGGCAGATATCACAGACAGGAATTCCAGTTGTCTTTCAAATCTCATCTGTCTGTCTGTCTGTCTGTGTACATGGAACATACATACATACATTCATACATTTCATTTCACAAGTCCGAACAAATGGACATGAAGGTCGTCATACAAAAATTTAAACAAACACACAGATAACGAAATAATTAAAACTAATTGCTTATGTTAAGCTCCACATATTCAGAAACTATATAAAAGGA